AATGGATAATCCTTAAGAGTGTAAGTAAACACAAGCACTGATTGGTTTTTAATTGGTACCTGTTTAGCTGTTAAATATGACACTGTTAAGCTTTCTTTTTAAAGCCATTTGAAGTGTTAATAAATACCTGCTGATCCTGCCAGTATCTGCTTCTTCTTCTGGGTTCATGTAAAAAGGGTTGAAATGCCAACCAAGCACTCCTATTGCTGTGTTAGCATTGTCCCCCTGTCGTGCATGCTCATGTATTTGGACTACAGGACAATGTGCTGATGAAGAGTAGACTGTAGAGTCTCTCTGTTAGGCTGTGATACCACAAGGCAACCATACCTCTTGACCTGTCACAAGGTGATGGGATTTGTCCTGTAACCAGCAGTGACATAACTGGAAGTGGCTCTGCCAACAGCTCTGATGTGTACCTTGCAAGACCCAGGTATTGTAGTCACCTGACATCTAAATTATTCTGAATATTTTAATGGGGACACCAATACTTATGAGCACGATTTTTTTTGTTCACATGTACTTTACATGTACATGGCTTGTGTTTTATATGCAAATCAGATCACAGCATCAGATTGAATAGTTTTACTTTACATAAAAGGTTATCAAAGAAACAAAAATAAAATTGCAAAATAAAATTAAGCACAAGGACTCTTGTGAAACATTCACACCAGTCAGGTCCATTGTGTTACATTGCTCGTGTCGCGTTAAAGAGGTCTATTTATTTGAATGGGCTGCCTAATGCATGTAATGGAATAAAAATTGCACGCATTACTACCTATTTTAGTGCACTGCAATTCAAGAGCATCAGAAAATGCGCTGGGGGGTAATTCACAATAAATGGCAGCGCAGCACACAAATCCAGAATACATGTTACCGTGCACTGTTGTAATGCCAGTATAACTTTAACACACTGGTGTGTTTGGGTCTTTAAAGCGGTAACAAACTCAAAATTTTAATATACTGCAGCTTACCAATCCCTAAATGTGGTGGCTGTATTAGTTTTCTTTATATATATATATATATATATATATATATATATATATTATTTCTTTTATTTATAGTCTGCCTTCCTTTATTTTTCACCTGTTGATCTGGCAAGTAACACACTTCCTGTCCTAAGGTGTCTCCACTCTGGAATGGAGGAACAATGGAGACACCTTTATACAGCAGCACTGTCAATCTGGGGGGAGGGTACTATCAGATACTATCAGTCTGCACTAGTAGATTTAGATTTAAAGTTGAGCTTCAGTTAACACTTTTAAGCAGTTACAGCAACAGTTTTTTTTATTCTTTTGGGATAGAGGTTTAACATAAACGAATAAAAGCTGACAATTGTATATACCCCGTCATTGGTAAATAGTTTGTCTCAGCTTTCTAACTGCCACTTTTGCTGGACAGCTTGGTCTGTTAAAGGAAGTTGGAAACTTGCAGACTTGCTTACCAGGTCGCCAGGTAAAAATAAAGGAAAGAAAGCCTAAAAAAGAAAACTAATAACCTGTTATATAAGATCTAATTTTTGGGTTTATTACTGCTTTAAAGGAAACTATTACTGAGAGAAACATGGAAGGTGCAATTGACTTCTCCTTCAGCAAGAGAAGATGCCTGCCTATCATGCCAACACGCTTGCTTCAATACTTTGAGTCATTAAGTATGCAGACAAGGAAGAACGACTATATTCTGACTAAAATACATTCTTGTTCTGATTCAGAAAGTACTGAAGGCAGCAGATTAGCAGCCAGCATTTTTTTTATAGCAGGAGGTCAGCAATGGAAGCCTACATACTTCTCTTGGGAATGGTTCATTTTGCACAGTTGATATATTAATTATATGCATCTGCTACATGAGTACTTTCAAAGTGATCTGAAGAACGGCAAGCAATTAACATACTAGCTTCATATGTTCTACCACCCCCCCATTCACGATTCAGCCTGTGCCTTGAACAGGATGGTTTGACGCCTTAATTATGACTGCTACATTTTCTTCCTTTCTGTAGGCTTGGATTCGATTTCTCCTGCAGGGTTGGCTTTTTTCCTACATTATTTTTCTCGAAAATGGGCCAGGTTTATATATATATATTTTTCTTTTTTTTTTACTCTGATAATTACTTTTAATTTACTGAACTCTGGTATGTGTAAGGTTTATCAACAAATCACAAATCTGCAGCTTTTAAACACAATCTCAATGTCTATTTTTTCAGCCAAACACCCAGTATTGAATCTATTAATGGAATGCTATTTTTCTCTACAGGTCAAGGACCTCCACCGAACTGAAATATATTATGACTGAAGATAAAACCACTGACACAAAGATTCAGAAATTCAAGTCTAAGAACTTCTCTTTGCAAAAAACTAAATGTTTGTAAATACCACACACATTACATTTAATGAGATGTTTTAATACGAATTCCATTTGTTACACACTTAGGCCCATTTGCATGGGCCTAGCTGCTGACTGCTGCAGTGGTTTGTGTTGTCAACAGTGGCTGGCCCACACATAGCAAGTGATTGGAAAGGCTGCCTCCTGAACATCTGTTTGAAGAGGGACTTCAAGCCGAATGCGGTTTTGGCACAGCACTATAGGCTTGTTTTATATTCGTGACCATGGCAATGTGTATTGGGCTGTCCAGTGGCCATTGCCTGGTTCTGACAGGCAGTTGAGGCAAGGTCATAAAAGCACCTTAACTACCTGGTTTTACTACCCTTTTACATGGGCCTTATGTTTTTCAACATAAGGCCCATGTGAAAGGGGCCTTATGTTGAAAAACACACATCCATTGATTTCAACCAAAAGAAAAATAAATTAAAAACCTTTAATGTATCACAAAGTTTTAATGGAGACTTTTGGAAAAGGAAGCTCTTTTGTCAGACATGTATTACTAGCATCACTTGTCAGGATACAGTGGTGAATATATCAAATAATAACAAGCCCTAGAGAAGTAATCCATTACAATTTTCCACGAAAAGTGCTCATTCACATGGTCACAGAGGCATTTTTTATTCATCTGGAGGAGTGTGGAGCTACAAGCAGCTAACCTATGTTAGCCAATGAAGATGTAGAGGCTTTGCAGACTCACTCCCAAATCCAGTTTGCCAGGCGCACAGGGACGAGTGCATGGCCCCGAACACAGACAGTGTGTACCCATCCCTGTACACCTGTCTAAGATGTATGATGAGTCTGTACAGCCTCTGCGTCTCCATTGACTAACATAGGTTGTCTCCGTGCTGCTCCAGAGACATAAATGGCTGTTTAGACTGTACAGGTCTCTGTGACCATGCAACCTTACTGAATCCAAAATTATATTTACAAATAAATTTTGCTATAAAACTACAATCAACTGGGGAATCTTGCAGAGTGCAAATACTATTCTTCTTCACACCTATCTGCCTCATTTTAAAGCATTACTAAAGGCTTTTTTTTTTTTTTAAATAGCAAACATGTTATACTTTCCCGCTCTATGCAATGGTATTGCACAGTGCGCCCTCGAACCTCCTCTTCTCAGGTCCCCCGCTGCTGCTGTCCACTCTTCCTCTTCTCCATCTGCCCCCATATCAAAGCTATGGGGGCAGATGCACGGGCTCGCTCCTGAACGGGGCTGTGTATGTTTGTAGACACACAAAGAGTGGCTTGGCCCTGCCCTCTCCTCGCTGGATTTGAGTGACAGCAGCAGGAGCCAATGGCTTCCACTGCTGCCTCCGAGTCCTGTGAGGAGAGGGAGAGAGAACAACACTGCTGCTTTTGGGCACAGGGGGGCTGGGGGAAGCTAATCTTGGAAGTTTTTTTACCTTAATGCAGATAAACTTTAGCCTCTACAACCGCTTTAATCCATGCAATGTACATTGTTTTGGTTCATTCATTTTCTTTGGACCCAACACAGCAAACACACACCAGACTTATTTTTTTTTATGCAGTATACTACAACACATGTGTATTTACATCTACTGTTGTAGTACACTGAAGGTTCAAGTTCAACTGTTTACTGCACAGATGTGTAGGGGCTCTATTAGAAATGAATGGAATGCCCTGCATGTTGCTAACAAGCATTATTGCACATGAAGCCGCCCTTAGACAGTGCTGGACCATAGGCATACTTGAATGGTACTGTCTGTAGTGACTTTCACTTTAAATAAGTGCAGTTTAAATACATTATTTTAATTAAAGAGTCATTAATATATTTAAAATTCTGTTAACTGTATCAGTTCTTCCTGTGGTGTTATTGTTAACAACAAAAAAAGGATGAGCACAGTTTCCATGCCTTCTACATACAGCTTCTGATATGAAAGCGATAGTAAACTTTTGTACATTTTCTTGTAAAAGCATAATGCACTAGTATGCATTGCATATTAGCGCATCATGAAACAATTCCCTAAAAATAAAGAACTTTAGCGGCATGCTGTCACCATTGATGGGGCTTCCATCTTCACCAGCACTTCCTTCCGGGTTCACAAGCTCTGGCAGTTTGAACGGCAGAGCCGTGATGAGGTCACGACCAGGGTACAGAGCTCTGAAGAGATGGCATGGGTATGCTGTCACTTCCAAGCATCATCGGCTGGAGAAACACTGAATATCTCCTAAATGTGCACATTTAGGAGATATTCCTCGTACTTACAGGTACGTTTTACAACAGGTTTACCTGTACGTACAAGTGTTTAAGCAGTGTTTACTACCGCATTAATAATATCTAGTGTTTATACTACAAAAAAAGTTAATATAAAGAAAATATATGATTATGTTGTCAGTGCCCAGAACCTTTTGAATCTCCGGTTATCATGTCCATGTATTAATGTGCGATTATCCCATGTCCACGTTTATCTATGCTCAACATGTCCTACACACTGTGCAATTTATATCACTAAATGTTTACTTGCTGTCTTTTGTTCTAAAATGATTATGAGTATATATACACTATATTGCCAAAGTATTGGGACACCCCTCCAAATCATTGAATTCAGGTGTTCCAATCACCTCCATGTCCACAGGTAAATAAAATCAAGCACCTAGGCATGCAGACTGCTTCTACAGACATTTGTGAAAGAATGGGTCACTCTCAGGAGCTCAGTGAATTCAAGCGTGGTACCGTGATAGGTTGCCACCTGTGCAATAAGTCCATCCACGAAATTTCCTTGCTACTAATTCCACAATCAACTGTTAGTGGTATTATAACAAAGTGGAAGCAACTGGCAACAACAGCAACTCAGCCACCAAGTGGTAGGCCATGGAAAATGACAGAGCGGGTCCGTGCATACTGAAGCACACAGTGCGCAGAAGTCGCCAACTGTCTGCAGAGTCAATAGCTAAAGAACTCCAAACTTTGTGTGGCCTTCAGATTAGCACAACATTAGTGCATAGAGAGCTTCATGGAATGGGTTTCTATGGCTGATCAGCTGCATCCAAGCTTTACATCACTAAGTGCAATGCAAAGCATCGGATGCAGGGGTGTAAAGCATGCCACTACTGGACTCTAGGGCAGTAGAGACTGACTGCATTGTGCCAAGTGTAAAGTTTGGTGGAGGGGGGGATTATGGTGTGGGGTTGTTTTTCAGGGGTTGGGCTTGGCCTCTTAGTTCCAGTGAAAGGAACTCTTAAGGCGTCAGCATACCAAGACATTTTGGACAATTTCATGCTCCCAACTTTGTCGGAACAATTTGGGGATGGCCACTTCCTGTTCCAACATGACTGCGCACCAGTACACAAAACAAGGTTCATGGATGAGCGAGTTTAGGGTGGAGGAACATGACTGGTCTGAGTCCTGACCTCAACCCAATAGAACACATTTGGGATGAATTAGAGCAGAGACTGTGAGCCAGGCCTTCTTGTCCAACATCCGTGCCTGACCTCACAAATGTGCTTCTGGAAGAATGGTCAAACATTCCCATAGACACACTCCTAAACCTTGTGGACAGCCTTCCCAGAAGAGATGAAGCTGTTATAGCTGCAAAGGGTGGGCAGATGTCCCAATATGGTATATATATATATATATATATATATATATATATACTGTATATATATATACACACATGTTTTTGTCATAGTGTGAAATAGTTGACACATACAGTAGTTGTCTGAATGGTAGATTTGCTTCAAACCTGAACTCAAGAAAACAGCTTAGGATTCAGTTGAAATACCCATATGTAAACTGTCTTATCTGAAAAAGGATTTGTAATTCTGCCCAGCTACTTATGTGATTACTACAGCTTTGTCATACAGCCCAGCCAAGGAAGGGGGTTACACCACTTTCTTTGTTAGGGCTTGGTGACTGGTGTTTTTTCTGCACTAGATAAATGCCAGTCACCACAAGGGTAATAGAAAATATTTGCTTTCCATGTGCCCTGTTCACAACACAATACTGGTGTGAACTTTAGTCCAGCGTCACACCAGCATAGTGGTGTGCAGAAAAATGCAGACATGCTACACCATATGCTGTGCAGAGACATGAATGTGCTGAAACACGCATTAAACTGCCCCCTCACTGCAAGGCAAAACTGATAATTGCCTGCACCCTAAACTGGATTGTTCAGAGCATGGGTAGTGTGAATGTTCCCTTAGATTTGAGGAATACAGTGGTGTCACCTCCCTATCTGCAGCCTGTGACAGATGATGATATCCATACAGACTTATGAATTTATGCTAGATGTATTTTTTGTACCCACTGTAAAAAACTTTCCTTGGAGTCAACTGAGGAACACAGGAAGTCATTCACTTTCAGGTTTTACAGTTGCCTACAGGGACACTGGCAAACAAAAAAAAAACTGTAAGGTAGCCCAGGATATCCCTTCTATGTAAACCAAAAAAACCCAAATAGAAAGCTGCACATACAAGCTATCTAAATACCAAATACCATAAAATATATATAACATATAAGTAAACTTTACAAAATATCAAAAATAAATTACATGAAGTGTCAGCTTCTTTAGGTGAAACAATAGTCCAAGAGTGAATATCACAAAAACTATTCTGAGAATAAGACCGCCAAAAAATATAGGGTATATTATAGAACATGTAACGCATTTTAGCGCAGCTGTAAAATTCAGATCAATGGAAGGACATCTGAAAAACAGTCATTTCCAATGTGTCCTATTCACACCAAAGCGATGCATTGAGTTGCGCTAAAATGCAAAATGAATGTCAATAGATGTCAAAATGTACTGTATGTCAACAGACGTCAGTGTGCAATAAAACATAACTAAAATGGATGGAAATATACATGCATTTTACCGCAAGTCTGTGTGAATTGGGCCTCAATGGGAATTTACCAGGAAGTTTGCACGTTTTGCTGTGTTTGTGTCCACTAATATTGATTTTAGTGCTATTTTTAGTGAAAATATTGCTTTGATAAACATTTTGGGTAACTATCAGAGGGCATAAAAAAACATTAGCACCTTCTTTTTATTTTCCTGGTTCTATCCTTTCAGAAAATGTGTGTTTTGGGGAGGTTTTTAAAAACTCTGAGGCTCTATGCACACTGCTCCTAGAGGAGTTTAGCATTTTGCCTGTATAAGCAACTAATGTTATCCTGTGTATCCATGCACATTAGGTAGTGCAGAGATGTTTTTTTTAGCTCAGCATTGAGAAAAAAAAAAAAAAAACCTTTCTGTTTTGTGTTTTTGAGAGCATTTTTCTGGCAGAAAAAAAGCTAAACGCTCCTAAACACTTAGTACAAAATTAGCAGGTTTTTTTACTGACAAGAGCACTCATGTTTTTTTAAGCCAGTGTGCATGCAGCCTTAAAGCTGTAAGGGGAATAATAAGAAAAACAATGGAAAAAAATTGCAAAAATGATCTGGCCACCTGAGTTGTAGCCCCCATTCACATTTCCTGTATTTTTGAGCGATTACCAAGCTATTTGCCATGTTGCGCCAAAGAAGCTCAGGGACCAAATTTTGCCCCTGAGCCAGGTGCATTTTTAACATGCACATTTTGCCAGCCAACAATCATGGCAAAAAAAATGAATGGTGCCCAAATGAGTCCATGCAGTTTGCTGCCATTTTAAATTGCCTGGTGCTGCAGGGTCTGGCAGCAAAAGGGTTAAAGATTTGTCAAAGTAATTGAGGTGGAAAGTGGTGGAAAATGAGATCATATAGTTACCAACCCCTGTTCTGTTGCTACAAAGATCCTACTTTAAAGGAACTTGCACTGATTGCTATCACAAAAGATTTTTTATGTACTTGTGTAACTAACTGTTTTATGATAAGAATAATTCCAGAGCAACTGTGTGACAATTTCATGTTGTACAGAGTATGAATGATGGCAACAAAAAACCTCTAAAGGCTGGTCTCAGCAGCAAATAAGAGAACCAGTGGTTTGGAGAAGTCTCTACTCTATACAATATATTAAGATTTCAAATCAAAGCTGGCTATATCTGCTGCAACTGGCTTAGACAGTGATCCTGCTGATCATTTTAGAAAACAACAAACCCTCATCCAATTTAGCTACACATGTATATGGCTAAAGAACATCTGTGCTGTCCCCTCAGCAGCAGCAGAGTGGCAGTATCAACATATGTGATCAGCTGTAGTAGTATCTTGCAAACACAAGAACACAAAGGATATAGTATGTTAGCAATCAAGGACAAGTGTATTATGGGATACTGTGAACTGTTTCCGTATACACATTATGGCAGTCAAGGCTATTACAAATTATGACGTTTTCTTCAACTTTACCAAATGTGTTAGGGCATGGGTGCCCAACCTGTGGCCCTCCAGGTGTTGCGGAACTACAAGTCCCATCATGTCTCTGCCTTTGGGAGTCATACTGTTAACTGCCAGCCTTGTAATGCCTCATGGAACTTGTAGTTCTGCAAAAGCTGGAGGGCTGCAGGTTGAGAACCCATGTGTTAGGGTCACATACAAAAATTTTAAACTGAAGCGTAAGGGGAACCAATTTGGGCAGAACACACATACTGTAAGCCCAGCAGACAGCGTATACCATTGGTAACCACATATACTGTTCTTTCTTATCCATATTTACAGGTTTTTTTAACCCCCTTTCCCCTTTAGCAGCTCCTGCTGATCACATACACTGATCAACCATCTCCACTGTAGTCATATTTACAGGTTTTTTAATGTCACTGGTTTTATTTATCCCCTTTCCCTTTAGCAGCTCCTGCTGATCACACATACACTGATCAACCATAACTTTATGATCATTGACAGGTTAAAGCGAGTAACATTGATTATCTTGTTACTAGGAATGCACCAAAATTTCAGAGGTGAAAAGCCCTATCGGCATTTTGCTGATAGGAACATTTTAGCCAATACAGGTGCCAATACAGGGGGCAGTGTGTACTGTAATGGGGGGGGGGGGGGCAGAGGAGAAAGGAGGAGAGGAAGCAAAGTGTATACAAGTGAGCTACCATTAAATGTCACTGGTGTTTTATTTATCAGCTTTTTCCCCCTTCACTATAGCTCCAAGAAGGTCTGTCATTTCTCCCCTCCATTAAAGGAAACAAAGGGGTGGGGTCACTGCGTAATGTCACTGGTAACCCCACCCCCCACAAAAGTTTATTTCCTTTAGCAGAGGGGAGAATGACACTTCCTTCTCGGAGCTATAGTAAATGGGAATAAAAGCCGTTAATTAGATTTCAAAACCAGCATTGTTTTTAAATGCAATTTGACCTGCTCAATATATTTTTTGAAGAAATAAGGCACACAGGGGGCGTACAGTGGACATTACCCTGCTTTGGTTTCCTCATAGCGGCAGGGAGTATGAACAGCTCCTTCTTGCAGTATGCCAAAAGCCATTAAGATTTAAAATACTTGGCAAGTTGTGGCCCAAAAAGTTGTATAAGGGGTGTTAGGGACTAGTGTACATTCTGTGGACTTACCGCTTTTTTCTTCACTATATTTTTGAGAATTTACTCTTCAGCACTGTCATTCTCCCCACCGCTAAAGTAAAATAAAGGGGGCGGAGTGGCACAGTGACATTACCCAGTGACTTAAAGAAAGCAGTGTCCCCTTAGTTTCCCTCCCATAGCCCGGATCAGGAGAAGCTGACAGCTCCTTCTTGATGAGCTATAAAACTGAAATGGGAACAAAAAGCCGGGTAATTAGATTTAAAAACTGGCAGTTACATATATGGGGGTTGAATAATTTTGGCATCCAATGAGGGAGCCTGAGTGTATACACTGCTCCCTCAACCGCAATGCAACCGTGTACAGTGCACGTGGTTGCACCACAGTAGTGTAGGCTTACAGGGTTAAAACAGGCAATGAGGAACCGGCATATTGCCTCCCAGCTGCTTGTCAAATGCCTTCTGAAAAGCGACCTACCACAGATTGCTTTTAAAAGGGATGGCAAAAGCTGCTGCAAATGGAAACAAACCCAAGAAATGTTGTAAAAAAAAAAAATCACACTACTTTGCTAACCAGCACTTTTGCAACTCT